GGCAGGAACTGATATGAATGTACACTATATATGTAAATTGTTGGCGGTATATAAGTACCTGTAATAAATAAGCTGAGGTTCACTCCAATGCGGTCCGGGAAACGCTGTGAATTAATGACACCCCCTGAAACAGATCGCAAAATGTGATGCAATTGCCAGAAATCGCATCACATGGGTGAGTCCACGCATGCGATGCGATTCAGGTGCGGATTTAAAAAAGGGTCCTGCACCTTTTTGGTGCGGATGCGATGTGATTTGAGCCATACAAAATGTATGGCTAAAATCACACCGCACAGACATTTGCATATAATTCGCACAGGAATGTGGTGCGATTCCTGTGAGAATTACATGTGGTGTCCCGCACTGTATAGTGTAAACCTAGACTTAATCTCCAAGAAATGCTGAAGTACACCAGTCTACTCCAGTCCCTTTTACTGGCAGTCTGTTGATCTGAAAACCCAAAAAAGGGAGTGGGAAAGAGGCACCAAGCTGTCAATAATGATGCAGATTGTATTTAATAAAAAAGGATATAAGATGCAATAATTATGCACTCACAGCACTAAAAAGCAGCACATTTTTGTTGTGACTGCATGCGATTACACACCTTCCCGCACTCGCTCAGATGTGAACCTAGCCTTACGGCATGAATGTGCCCTAAATGTGCCTGAAGATAAACAAGGAAATATTTGCACAGAAATTGAAATGAAAAATATCAAACTAATTGTAGTTAGACATGGTGATTTGTTTCGTTACAAATCAAAATTCAGATTAAAGTTTTGTTATTTGGAGATTCAGATGTATCCAAATCTTCAAATCACAATAGTAGTGAATTTCAATGAATCCAAACTAAATTGTAAATTTGTTTCATTCAGATGACATAATGCAATAGTTTGGGCCTTTTGGTAATGTTTGAAGCATCCAAAATAACGTAATGACATAACGAATGATCCAAATTGATTCAAATCATTTATTTTTTATTGTGCATTAATATTTTTCATTATCAGCCTTAAATGTCTCTAACTAAAGATGTACAAGGGAATATTTGTACAGAAATTGAAAATAAACTTATAAAAGCCATTGTAGTATTTTACACATCATCTGTAAGAATAAAAGCAGTACTGTCAAAGCACCAGGAGGTGGCAGTCAAATACATTTTAAGCAGAGCCGGGGTACATGTTTAATTGAGGAAATGTATATATTTTATTTTAGAATTGGCATCCAGTTTGCCTGTAGGAAAAGGAGTGATAGGTATAGTTAAAAGAAGTATTTCATATGAACATCTTAATAAAATGTAAATGAAAAAGCCTGCACCATAATAGTATTAATACCAGTATGCAAACCGGCAGGAGCAGTACATTGCCACTAGGAACTGAAAAACGCATCAAATTATGGAAATAATAATTTCTAAAATGTATCCATGATTTCCTTTAGTGATCAGTATGCATACCAGTTCATAGAAAATTATCCAATCCTTTTGTTAAATTAGTGTTTTCATTTTTCCATTAAAGTGTAACTAAAGGCATAACTTTTTTTTTATGTTTTGAAATAGAAAGGTATTAGACTTATCAGGTTTTCTCTGCTGTCTGGGCCACCTTCAGTGCCCGGTCACACCGGTGCGATTTGCAAATTGAAATGGCACCTAAATGGCCTGAACTGCCAATGGCACTTACAGTGAAGTCGCACAATTTCAAAATTGGATGACTTGCTGATTTCATTGCGATTTGCAAGACATCTGACACAGATGTCTATGCAAATCGCACCAAAAGTAGAGCATGTACTACTTTAGAAATCAGTGCGGCTCCGACCAAGTCGGAACCGCACTGATATGACTTCTCTAATAGCGGACAATAGGGTGCGACGTGGCATACGATTTGTAAGTCACAGGGCATGCAAATCGCATGCCAAGTCGCCCCTGATGTGACCGGGCGTTTAGTCACTGGTCACACCGCTGCGATTTAAAATCACGCCATTTGTGTGCAATTTTAAGACAATTTCAGGTTTCTGATAACTTGACTGCTACTTATGAAGATTTTCAACGATTTCTTGCAATTTTCAGTGCGATTTCCATTATATTTTATGTATGCACTTACACCCGGTCACACAGATCCCAACTTTGAAATCGTGTGACTTACAGTGAAGTTTCATGATTTCAAAGTTGGATGACATGCCGATTTGAGGTGCGATTTGCAAGACATCTGACACAGATATCTATGCAAATTGCACCAAAAGTAGTGCATGTACTACTTTAGAAATCGGTGCGGCTCCGATCAAGCCAGAACCACACCGCTATGAATGTTGTAATTACAGACAATAGGGTGTGACTTGCCATGCGATTTGTCATATGGCACAAGTCGTATGGCATGCAAATCGCATGCCAAGTCGCACCCGGTTTGATAGGGTGCAAATGGGAATCACCGGACCTGGTGATCGACAGCTGAAGCCGCCAATGGTGACACGGGTAGGGCATGGGCACGCCTCCTACCCGGAAATACAAAATCACGTATATATATATATGTGATTTTGCACAGCTATAGGTCGGCCAAGTAACAGGTAAACAAATGTTCCTTTAGACTAGTAATCACTTGATAGCATTTTTTTAGTACACATCTAGTTAGGTTGGGAAAAAGCTGAGCGACATTTACATAAAATAAGTTTCTTCTCAAATGAAGAGCAAATGTTAATGTGCTACATGAATAAATGTTTCATCAGACTGGATTATGATAACTTAACTAAACGTTCATAAAGTATTTATATACATTTTTTTTATATACTACCCACAATTTGTGGGTAGGTATAGTAATAAAGAATATTTATTTAACTCCAAAACAGATTTTAGTCACTCATTAACAGAATCGTAAGCATTGATTTGCAGATCAGAGTTTACTTTATATAAGCATGAAGCCACAGAGAGTCTCTTACATGTATTGCTTGCACCTTTTTGCATCTCCAAAGCTAGTTTCACACATATGCAGCTCTGCGAGCCGTGTGTTGTGCGATTATAGCAGCCAATTCATTTAAATGGTCTGCTTTGCCTCCTGAAATGCATGGAAAATATTTCTGCAACATTTTAGAAATCGCAGTTTGCACTAGAACCGCAAGTGCAGTGTGAATCCCAGTGCGTGAGCGATTTCCAGTGGGTGCTGCATGCCATTAGGATTAATGACACCCTCAAACATCCAGCAAGCTTTTCTATATGGGTGGTCGTGGCTGTGGGAACGGGTGCGGACCTGCACCTGAAACCACCCGCACAGATGTCAACGTAGCTTTAGGGCCAATTCGCAGCAGAACAAGATGTGTTCTGTGTGCGTTTCCTGCACTGCGTTCAGAACACACTGCCTTTGGGATCTGCTGCAGGTGTCTCTATATATATATATATATATATATACTGTATATCTATATATATGTTGGCAGTGCGACAGGGTCTAAATGTGGACTATAACCCAGGATTCTCATCCAGACAGTTTGAAGGGCTCTAGGGGGTTTGCCTAACACCGGGTGTGATTTGGCATGCAATTTCCTTACCAGGCAACTTGAAAATCGTATGCCAAGTCACACCCTATTGTTCGCTATTAGAGCGGTCATATCGATAAGGTTCAGACTTAGCCACACCGATTTGCATAAATATCTGTGTCAGATGTCTTGCAAATTGCAACTGAAACCGGCAGGTCACCCGATTTTTAAATCGTGAGACGTCACTGTAAGTCGCATGATTTCAAAATTGGCTTTGATGTGACCGGGGACTAATGCAGAGGAGACCGGCTTTTCAGTTTCCTCATTGTTTTCTAAAATCTCCAGTCCTGGGTCCAGGGTTTGTGAGCTGCCGGCACACTGATTGCACAGGTGGTTGCAGGCCTTCTTGTAGAGGCCTAACCATGGCTCTGGGCTCCACCCCGGCAGACAGGAGGTCGTTGTCCAGGAGTCAGGAGAGTTCCACCGAGGAGAGGTGGGAGCCAGAGCGGCAAGGGGCTGCTAGCTGTGTGCATGGAGCCATTTAGAAAAGAGTCTGCAGGAGATGGCTGTGAACCTGAAGTAGAAGGCCAGAGCGGCAGATTTGTAGGTACAAGCCAGGAGGCTAAATATCTGTGTTTGGAAGAGTAAAATGCTGAAAACTCCCGTGAGGGAAATCTATGGTTTTGGATTTATGGAGCTTTCTTTTAAATAAAATTGGGCAAAAGCGACCCTTAACTAGTAGCCGACCGCAGATAGCCGAATGACGGCTGCACTGCGGCCAGCCAGTTCTGGGTGGACGTCATATGACGTCCCACCAGAACGCGCTCTCCTGTGCGCCCCAGGGGGTGCGCACCCGGCGATCTTCGTGATCGCTGTGTCCTACGGACACAGCTGATCACGTGATGTGGTAAAAGGCCAATCACAGCGGCCTTTTACCACCTGATCAGCGGTGTCCAATGACACGCTGATCAGAGGGAAATGCAAGTGCCGGTTCTCGGCTGCACTTTCCTCACGCTGTCAGAACCGGCAGTTATCAGAGCGAGGATCGACACCGATCATCAGGGCACTGATGATCAGTGCCCTGATGATCGGTGCCCAGCAGTGCCACCCGCAAGTTCCGCCCACGTGTGCCCAGCAGTGCGCCCACTAACTCCCGCCCACCTGTGCCCAGCAGATCACCCACCTGTGCCCAGCAGTGCATCCACCTGTGCCACTCTGCAGTGTCACACACCTGTGCCCAGAAGTGCCACCTACCTGTGCCCAGCAGTGCCACCCACCTGTGCCCACCCACCAGTGCTGCCCACCAGTGCCACCCACCAGTGCAGCCCAGCAGTGCTGCCAGTCAGTGCCACCAGTCAGTGCCCAGCGGTTGTGCCAGTCAGTGCCGCCAGTCAGTGCCCAGCAGTGATGCCAGTCAGTGCCATCTATCAGTACCCATCATCAGTGTCACCTATCAGTGCCGCCTATCAGTGCTGCATATTAGTGCCGCCTATCCGTGACACCTCATTAGTGCTGTCTATCAGTGCTGCCTATCCGTGCCACCTCATTAGTACTGCCTATCAGTGCCCTTTAGTGCTGCCTATCAGTGCCCATCAGTGCCGCCTATCAGTGCCCATCAGTGCTGCCTCATCAACGCACATCAGTGAAGGAGAAAAATTACCTGTTTGAAAAATTTTATAATAGAAACAAAGAAATTTTTTTTTTTTTCAAATTTTTTGCACTTTTTTATTTATATCGCAAAAAGTAAAACGCCCAGTGGCGATTAAATACCACCAAAAGAAAGCTCTATTTGTGAGAAAAAAAAATGATCAAAATTTCATATGGGTACAATGTTGCATGACGCGCAATTGTCAATCAAAGTGCGGCAGCGCTGAAAGCTGAAAATTGGCCTGGTAAATAAGGGGGTATAAGTGCCTGGTAGGCAAGTGGTTAAACAAAGTGAGTGGCTATGTACTTTAAAGCTCTATTTCTCAAAAGAGATATATATTTATATATACACTGTATATAGTAGTTTCCAGCAAACTCGCACTGCACTGCACCACAATGCTGGTTCCAAAGTCGTGGTGCAGAGTATCAGGGATTCTGTCTTCTTCAAAGCCCCAAATACAAAAGCTGTCCACTTGTAGGTTTGCAGGGAGGCTTCTCCAACTGAGTGCCACCTGATATGGTATATCCTCCTGGACCACATTGCCTATCATTTTATGTGTAGGGTGTTTTAATTAGAATGGCGAGGGAGAATTAGGATTAAAGTGTAAGTTTAATCCAAACCTTTTTAAATAATCAGTCCAAGGTACATTAATTACTATCAGTGATGTCTCTGTTATGCTGCTGTCTTCTGGTTTAGTAGAAATCTTTCTTCTCCAAATCCTCCCACCCCTGGTGCTGTAATCTTGCACTGGTTAACATTGATGAGGAAGCTGGGACAAACACTGATCAAGAGTATCTTGACTATGCCTGAACTCTCTTTCCATCTCCTCTATCCATAAAGGCTGTACTATAGCTTCCATGAATGACACTGGATCTGTGAATAGAGGAAAGGCCGATGGATGAAAGGCATGCCTCCTCCATTCATAGATTGTGCTTCATTCACACTTTAATTCAACTTGTTTTATTCAACTTGTAGGCAAGGATATCCAGGGGCCACTTCCATATACTGTTACTAACCTAAATCCCACATAGATCTCCATTTCTGCACACATGTGCATGTATTTTTTTTACTCCACCTCCCTGATCTATAACCATATAAACACCCCTTATGCCAGGAGCACACTCTCATGCAGGGCCCTGCATTCCACTCCTGATAACCAGTTAAAGTGTTACTAAACACACAACAGTAAAATCAGTCTATATATTCAGTAAAACATGTTTGTTATACTTACTGTGGAATCTAAGGGGTTATTCCTCTGCATTGTGTAAAAATTGTGTTTCATCTTGACTACTCTGATCCTCCCCTTCTTCCAGTGTCTCCCTCTTATCTCCTGATAAGACATATTGTGTGGAGTCACTCTGCACATGCTCAGTTTGGTGTGCATTGTTAGAGATTTTTTTTTTTTTGGAGAGTGCATGTGATCAGCACAGGGCCAATCAGCACTGTCCAGACAGAGGTCAGGGGTTCTGCATCCTCCTACAGCGAAAAGAAAACTCACTCTACAAACTTTAACCAGTGCGCTGCTGGACACTGATAGAAGTCACAAGACTGCTCTAACTGCTGATGAGAAAAGGTATTTAAAGTTTATATTTACAAAAATAATTGCATCTCCATGTTCTGTGTGTACTGTGGGAGACCAGATAGAGTGAATGCAGAGCCCGGGGTTTAGTAACACGTTAATGCACAGATGGTCCAGCCAAACACCCGTGGCCCATGACAGCCCCTGGCTCCTGGGGATTAGGTCACCAAACGTGTGTTCTGTTGAGGGGGAGTTCTCTCAAAGCAATGAGGGTAACCCCTTCCCTGAACCACCACCAGCTCCAAGAACAATCAGGTTTGCACTCATCACACAAAGACACACTGCTCCCCAGGTATAGGCTAAGCATATTAAATAACAACTTCAGCTATACATTACATCTTGTTCATCACACAGAGGCTAATTTCTTCAACTGACTTCTTTAGTTAAATAGTTGTAAACAGTCCATAACAATGAAATAAATACAGTTCCAAGATATGTCAACAGCTTTCCCCACATATGGTAGAGATGTTCAACTGGGTTCCACAGGGCAATACATTTTCAGACGAAATGATTTTGGCCAACATGTCTTTGTTGTCGAAACCTTAGAAAGATAATTTATTACCACAAAACTATAGACCTATCTCGGTCATAAATAACGATTTAAAGATATTTAGTTGCATTTTGGTGGATAGATTGGCCCCTATAATCTCCTCTTTGGTCTCCCCTGACCAATCAGGTTTCATTCCCAATAGACTTATCACTGACAATATAAGACTTACCATGAATGTTATACAGGATGCTAATTTACATTCTAAGGAAGTATTGCTTTTGAGCCTTGATATCAACAAAGCCTTTCGCCTTATCTATTTTCGCTTTTGCAAAGCATGGGCTTTAATGATGAATTTGTGTCTGGAATACGTGCGTTATATAATTCTCTTTAAACAAGAATAAGACTTCCAGGTTGCAACTCGGATGTTTTCACTCTGAGCAGGGGCACTGGACAGGATTGCCCACTCTCACCCTTATTATTTGCCTTAATTTTAGAGCCCTTGGCCACAGCCATTAGACTACACCCTGATATATCTGGTTATCCGCTCCTTGCTTCACAATTTAAACTATGCATATATGTTGATGATGTTATGCTTTTTGTGACTAATCCACTGATTTCAGTACCAATTCTTTTTCAGCTACTTACCAATTTTCCTTCCTTGTCGGGTCTCTCACAGTTAACCAATCTAAATCAGTTGCCTTACCGATTAATATTCCACAGACCCTAAGTGAATCTCTTCGTAGATCTTTACCATTTCTGTGGTCATATGATAAGATCTCATATGTAGGCATCCAACTCACTCCTAAAGTTTCTATTACTTTTGCTGCAAATTATCCTCCATGTGTGTCTCGTCTCCATAATTTAGCAAACGTATCCAATTTCATTTCTGGGTAAATTCACGGCGGTTAAGATGAATATCTTGTCTAAACTCCTTTACCTTTTAGAGCTCTTCCGAGTAACATTCCCAAATCCACCTTGACCAGTTTCAAGGAGAGGTTAATAACTTTTTTTGGCAAAACAAAGGGCCTCGATTCGCCTCTCTTGTCTTATATAATTTAACAACGCTCTGGGGGCTTAGAATTACGCAATTTCTGGCTTTACTTTTGTCTGCTTGTCTCTCTCAGATGACCCAATGGTCCACAATTAAATTTAAAGTCACCTGGGTTTGTTTTGAAGCCCAAGCGATACGTCGTTTTTATATCCCAGGACTTTTGAGGAATTCTCTTATTTCTCCTCCTCCTTTTGTTCACCGATTGAATACCAGTGGTGGTATGATAAAGCCATTATTAAATTAGTTGATTTTCATACAGGGGGTACATTTATCTCCTTTAATCAATGTCAGGCCCAATGTAATACCCCAAATCAAGAGCTCTACCATTACCTACACGTTTGCCACTTTTTTACCAACCAGGGGCGGACTGACCATTTGGGAACTCGGGCAGTGCCCGAGGGCCCGGGGTCAGTAGGGGGCCCCATGAGATGCCCCTGGTACCTTTTTCATTGGCTTTTTTGAGTTTGGGCAAGGACACAGGGGCCCCATGATCCCCTATTGCCCGGGGGCCCCATGAGTTGTCAGTCCGCCCCTGCTCACAACATGTCCTTTCCCTTTCCTCTCCTATCATTCTTTTTTGAGCGTATCTGCCGTGACTCACCCAGAGGCAAAGGCCTTATATCAGACCTATACCACTCTTTCTTAGAGACTTACTATGCTGCCTCACTTCCATACGAAAAAAAAAATGGGAAGTAGACTGCAATACAAAATTCTCTGCTGAGGACTTGGACACCATGTTGGATAATATTCACAAAACCACTAAATCCCTTGCAGTTCGGGAAACAGCCTTCAAGGTACTTACCCAATGGTACTATGCTCTTCCAGACTGCATGCTATCTTCCCGGGGTTTTCAGATCTCTGTGTTCCAGGGCTGTAATTTCATTGGTACCATTACACATATATTTTGGGAGTGCGCCCATCTTTCTGCAGTGTGGAGAAAGATCTCAGAATTTGCCTCAGCATTGCTGGAATCACATGTTGACCTATCTATGCAGTGGTGTTTGATTGGCTCCCCTATTCTGGGAGTTTCAGCTGGTAGGTCAAGCTTGATTCACACTAAATGTGTATCTACTCTTTCGGTGATTGCTCTACTCTGGAGGTCAGCTACAGTCCCCTTATCCTCTGTATTGAGGAGAAATGATATGGTTATGCTTATGGAATGTATACATTATACCTTGCAGGATAGGATGCATCTGTTTAACAGTAAACAGGATGACTGGAAACTTCACTGTCACATATTGTTGGATTAATTTATATACTCATATAATTTTCCCATCTTCTGATACGATGATATCTAGCCAACTTATTGTGCTTCTTCTCACATGGAAGAAAAATATATCTTAACGATATTCTTCCCAAATATATATATATATATATATATATATATATATATTATTTCTTCCATGTGGGTTATTAGTTGATTTTTTTCTTATATACTGTAAATTTCTCTAATCATTTGAAATTATTTGTACCCTTGATTATAATCACATGATATGTAACTCAATATTGTTTTTTTTTTTTTTTGCCCAATAAAAAGTTTGTAAACAAAAAAAAAAAGGATATGTCAACAGTATCCTGTCCATGTAATTGGAAAGCAGTCCCATATAAGGATGATGTTAAAGTCCAGCAAACTGGGAGAAGTGGCATTGTAGACTAACAATGACTAAGACATTTTCTCGAGTTCTCCTTAGTTCCCATTCCAGGGTCACAGAAGAACCCACACACAACCCCCTTCTGTATCTTGAATTCTCTCCTGCTGTACTGTATTGCACCTTGCTAAGTCCCTCCCATCCATTCAAATTGGGAAAGCGTTTCACTTTGCCAACAGGGTGGGTTTCACAGCAGAAGGGAAATAACCCCTTCCTACTAATTTAGAACAAACATTCTCCTTAAAGTGGGTTGGATCAGGGCCTCATGCCATAAAACCAGAGAACATAATAAACAACTTGTCTACTGCTTGAATATTTGGGGTATTATTATTAGTATACAGGATTTAGGAGGGCCCAGCTCATTGGAGCTTACAATCTAAGAGGGAAGGGCTGATGGTACAAAAGGTAATAACTGTGGGGGATGAAATAGAGGATTCGGTTATAAGCTGAAGGCAGGATAGGCTTCTCTGAGGAGATAGGTTTTCAGAGATCACCTAAAAGTGGGCAGAATAGGTGATAATCAGATAGAGTGGGGTAGAGAGTTCCAGAGAATGAGGGAGGCTCTGGAGAAGTCCTGGAGATGAGCATGGGAGGAGGAGACAAGGGAGCTAGAGAGCAGCAGGTCATGGAAGGAGTGGAGAGGACGCTTGGGTGATATTTGGAGACAAGATTGGTGATGTAATTTGGGGCAGAGTTAATGGCTTTATATGTTATTGTTAATGTTTTGAATTTTATTCATTGGGCAATGGGAAGCCAGTGAAGGGATTGAAAGAGGGATGGCAGACATGGAATGGTTGGTTAGGTGGATGAATCTGGCAGCAGCATTCATGATTGACTGAAGAAGGGATAGCCAGTGATTAGGTAGGCCAATGAGGTGGGAGTTACAATAGTCAATTCGAGAGATAACAAGGGAGTGAATAAGTTGCTTAGTGGTTGCAGTGGTTAAAAACGGGCGTATCATGGAGATGTCATGGAGGTGAAGTCTACAAGATTTGGACAGTGATTGGATTTGAGGCTGAAAGGACAGATGGGAGTCCAGGATTACACCTAGTACCCTGGCACGAGGGGAAGGACTGATATTTGTATTATTGATCTTGATGGAGAAGTCAGGGGAGAGGGCATGGGCTGGAGGGAATATTATGGGCTTAGTTTTAGAAAGATTGACTTTGAGGAAGTGGAGTGATATCTACGCTGATATGTAGGTTTGTAATGCAAGAGGAGACTGAAGAGGTGAGGAGTAGAAAGATAGATTTGTGTGTCATCAGCATAGAGATAGTACTTGAAGCCATGGGAGTTTATCAAGTGAACAAGGGAGGAGATGTATATGGAGAAGAGTAGGGGTCCAAGGACAGAACCTTGAGGGATTCCTACAGGAAGAGGAAGTGGAGAGGCGGAGACAGAGTTATAGGTAACACTGAAGGAGCTTTGTGATAGGTAGGAGAACCAGGAGAGAGCAGAGTCTTGGAGGCCAAGAGTGTGGAGTTTTTTTGAGGGGGGGATGGTCAACAGTATCAAAAGCCGCAGAGAGGTCAAGTAGTAAGAGTATGGAGTAGTGGCCTTTGGTTTTAGCAGTATGTAAATCATTAGTGAGTTTTAGTAAGGCAGTTTCAGTGGAGTGGAGTGAGCAAAAGTCAGAATGTAAAGGGTC